GACTCCCCGTAAGAATACACTAACATGCGTTAATTATGCAATCAAACATCGTACTACAAACAGTTTTACATTTTAACATATTTGCCATCGATATACAGTTTGTCGGGCTCAGATTTGCTAAAATTTGCACGCTTGCCCTCTTGTCTAGCCTTCTTTAATTTGTTCATTTGGGCTTTTCTCAAATCATGTAGTTCTTTTGGAAAATCTTCGTACATCTTGTAACCAGTATCTTTAAGCTTGTGGCCGCATTTAAAAACACGTTCCCTGTCCGAGAATCTCAGAAAACGAGCTATGATGGTTCGGCTGCCATTTCCATTTTCGCTCTTCGGTTTGCCAATCCTATGTACTCGCTGGAGTTCCATATCCTTGGCGTCTTCAATCCCAAGGACATTTTCCATGAAGTTAGCTAAGACTTCTTTCGTGTCCTCCTTCGATGTTGCATTCTGTTGACCGGACGATTTTGGTAATTCAGCATTATTTTTGAAGTTGCAAACAGCGGGGATCAACTTTGAAAAACTGTTAGGCTGAACAGTTTTCAAAAATCCTTATTTCAATCCGTTTTAATCTTCTTCAGTTTTGCCCATCCGTGACATCTGTTGTTCCTGTTATGTTATTTTAACCCTCCTTTAAAGTTTTTAGGAGTTATTTATATGTTTCTCTTAATTTGACGGGCATTTTGTGACACAGCTCCTTTAATAAAAGCCATAGTTTCCTCATTATAAGCAGACGCGCAAGTATTTGCTGGCTGTAACAAATGCAATGGCTAAAAAAAACTCTGAACTGAGTATCATGACAATCTGTTCAAAAATAGTTCAATGAAGGCGCCATTTTTTAATGTCACACGGGAGGAAAATCAGTTTTCCGAGAAACTCGACGGAGAGCAGCTTCCGAGACCCTGTTTCCGAGAAACTCCAGTATTGTTGTAAGACAAAAAGTACAAAACGAATCGACTACATTTTTCTTGGTCTAAGCTATTAACGACAATAGAGATTATACAACATAACAAATGCTCATAACTTTGCCGTGGGTTTTCACAACCCGATTTTTGACGTCATTTCTATGATCAACAAACCGTTTTGAAAACTGAAAACTTGCGGTCAATAACGAACGTGGCATGGTTTTGTCTTTAAATCCAGTTATATGGTTTTGTTTATGTTTGTGTGATCGCCGCCGACGTCATATGGCCCGCTAATAAGTCTTCAATAGTTGTAAATATTACTTTACCTTTCCATACTTTTATAATGTTCTTCTCTTTTAGCATCGAGAAACTCAGTAAAAGACTGCTCATCTGGAAACCATTTTTCTTCCTCTATAACAGTGGCACCAGTTGTCGGTCGAACGTCAGGTAACGTCTCTTCAATTAGCTCTTCAATTTTCTTCTTAAGGTTTTGGTACATGGTAGGTTTTACGAACAAGAATATTCCGTCGGGCAGTTCGCCGATCACATACGTAGAATGCTTGTGCTTTCTGTAAAACTGTCGGCCAAAGAAGTGTTTAACAGTCTTTGCTATATCAGGCTTATCCTCGTCAAAACAGCGTCTCCATTTCGTTCTCATAGACTCAAATTTATATAAAATATCTGGATTAGCTGAAGCCATTTTCTAAACGTTTTCGGTTCAGAATGTAGTGCATGCTCTGACCTTGACACATGTGTAAAGGTTTTCACCTTCACCGGCGAAAAATGTCTGCGCATGCGCTACTAAAATGACACGTGATCTATTTCGCGCAATGTCATTGGCTCTGAGGCAAAAATGCTGGTTGAGATGAAAAAAATAATCGCCGTTTTTTTCACAGTGATAGCGTTGTGGTTTTCTTGCCATAGTAAGAGATCAAAAAACATTTTGGTGAAAGTTTTGAGTGGAATGTTTTCTCTAGAAAATGTAGCGCCTT